CGATTTCAAAATTTTCAGAAAATTGAAAATCACACCCCCCAACCCATGGATTGGTCACAATCGGTCACAATTAATCGGTCACAATCGGTCACAATTAATCGGTCACAAACGATCACAATCGGCCACAATGAACTACCCGGTAGTCAAATCGCGATCTAGATCAGAAAAGTTCGCCGAGACCACCAACTTCGGTTGCAGCCTTCAATGTGACCAACTGTGACCAAATTTGTATTCAGTGTGACCGTTTGTGACCAATTTTGTGTTAATTGTGACCGATTATGACTTGATCATATTCAAGTCACATTCGGTCACAATTAACACAAAACTGGTCACAATTAGTCACAGTACAAAATTAAAGCCCTAAAATTCTTGTGAAGCAAACCCAATTTCACCCTTCCCACTAGTCTTCTTCAACAGAAGTGTTTGATGAATATTGGGCAGAACACCACCATTCGCAATTGTCATCGAACCCAACAACTTGCTCAACTCCTCATCATTCCTCACTGCCAACTGGATGATCCCTGCAAGAACCGGTATCAATGTCAGAATTCTTTATCCATGAATTCAGTGGGCAGGAATCTCGAAACTTCATAATATTCCAGGCCACAGTCCATTTGGACTCAGATGCAAATGATACAAACTTTATAACAAGGTTATAAAATGTCTGAACATCCAAAAACGATACTAGCATAAAGATGCAGGAATATTAATACAAAATCAAATATATTTCATTTTCTACTCGAATACCACATTTCTTACATCTACAGTTCACAACGAAAATGCAAGCCTATGATACAGGAAAAACGAAATAAAATTTTGTCATCAGATAAAAAATACATTCTATTCTCCACTTCCCGTCAACCAGAAATGAGGAACATTGGCGAAAAAAATATATTTAGTTTTGTTACAAGTACTCATAAGATCTGGTTTACAACCGCAGCCTGGACTGAAGGCTTAACCAAGCTCTACACCAAGAAATGTTTGATGAATATTGGGCAGAACACCACCATTCGCAATTGTCACCGAACCCAACAACTTGCTCAACTCCTCATCATTCCTCACTGCCAACTGGATGTGCCTTGGAATAATCCGATTCTTCTTGTTATCTCTTGCACCATTCCCAGCAAGCTCCAATAACTCCGCAGCGAGGTATTCAAGAACAGCAGCGAGGTAAACAGGTGAACCGGATCCTACTTGTTCTGCATAACGATCTTTTTTTAGGAAACTGGCGACACGGCCGAAGGGAATTGGAGACCGGCCTTAGAAGATCTTGATACAGCCTTGGATCTGGGATTCCCACGGCTGCCAATTGATTTGGTTGCAGTTGTATTGCTCCGCCACGAGCAGCGGTGCCGGAAAGATACGGTAGAGACTGGGGGTTAGGTGGGTGGTAGAGAGAGAATGAGAGAGAGAAGGAAGAGAATTATAATCGGGGTTGGGATGAATGTTAGATTAATTTTTTATTAATTACAATTAATAATTCAATTTATCACCTGATTTGTGAAAAAAAAAAATTCATTCCCTGTTTTTTGAAATATAATCTTTAAAGACAGGTTTTGAGGTAATTTTCTCTTACTAAAAATTTAACAGCAATTGAACAGCAATTGTAATTCAAAATCGTAAAGAAAAAAAAAGGTGTTTTCTATTTTTCAAAACAAATGAAATTACAGTTTATGTATATTTGGTACACAATATAAAATGGTATGACACAAACTTTAAACTTTGTTTTTCCATATTGTTCGGTACTATGTAAACAAATGGCTAAAAAGGCAAGGCATGGTGCCATGGTGGGTCGTGGGTGAATAAGGTGCGCCCATGACAAATGAAGGAGGATTGGTTGATGAATGTGCTCTAATGGGAGTTCTTGGGGTCATCGGACTTCTTGATGTGGACACCATCCTGCTTCGACCGCCACCACCATGTCGATTTTCTACTCATCTCCTCGGCCCCTTCTCTGCCCACTTGAGCTCTTGTTGCTTCACCGTAGATGGATATCCCATACAGCACCCCAAACTTCCGGCCTCTTCTATGTACCTGCGCTCGAATTGACAATACGAACATTAATTGCTGATATATCAACTGATATAGTATGCCTAAAATCGTAATAGACAAAATACCTAAAATCAAATATTGCAGCCACCCGTTTAAGGAAATTATGAATATGTCACATATTTCAACTTGCACGTGTTGAAGATTAAATTTTTGTAAATTAACAAATTATCCTTCATCTATAATATTAAGTTTTTTAGATGAAATAGTTCAACCAATATTCATTAAGCCCTTATTTGATGGGGATTAAAATCAAATTTTTAATAGAGCTCGATAAAAGTTGATGAAATGTGTTGTTAAAAAATTGTGAGTATCATGAAATATGTATTTAAAATTAATTTTCGACTTTAACTTAAATTAAAATTTAATCCATACCAAACATGGACTAATTTTATTATTGTACTTGTATATTTCTCATACTTGTAACATGACTCTCGTGCTCTAAAATTCATTTTTTTCTCGATCTTATTTTCAACCATACATTCTTTCAATTAAATAATTTTGCATATAAACCTATAAATTTTTCATACATTTTTAACTACATATTCTCCAAATTCCACAAAATCTATCTTTAGAAAAATAATAGTTAGAAAGTATCAAATCGTCAATGAAGTCAACAACTTTGCGACGTGAAGATAAAAAGTAGAAAATTACATTTATTTGTTATTAAAAATTTAAACTTTAAATGAGATTTCTTCAAGATCATACCAGATTATGCAAATAGTCTATGCCAACGAAGAATTTGTTCAAAATAAAATATAAATAAATAAAATTTATTCCCTTTTCACTTAGAATTATTTTTCATTTTTACGTTGAATCGGAGAACAACGAGTTGTATATTTTAGTTAAATAATAATAATAATAATAATAATAATAATAATAATAATAATAAATTCATACCTTTGACTAAATCTTCTACCCAAGCATTCTATGCACTTTCGACCTTCTGCCATCTCTCCCATGCCAATATGTTCACACATTGCCAGCAATAAACTCTTCCACATACCTACAAACAAACATATTTATCCATTAATTCATATTTTAAATAATTTCAATTTGATTGAAATCAATCATAATAAACAATGATTAGACCAATGTAACACAAAATATTTCGAAAAATACGAAAGAAAAATATTATAATTACCAGGCAACGATGTCGAAAAAAATAGATATAAGTAGAACAAACAGTGCAAGTATTGGAGTGAGGAATTCCAGGTCTTCTTCTTCCTCCTCTCTCGTGATAAGGGTTCATAGAAGTCAGACTATAGCCACTCACTTGACTCACGTCATCATAAAACATACCTCTACCATGATGATGAGGAGGAAGAGTTTCTCCATTAGTATATACACCATGATGACCTCGTACACAGTGCAAATCGCCCTCGTCCGCACGATGGTGGCTCGATACATGGTGATTATCTCGGACAACGTGATGGGGTGACCGTGGAAGATTTTGTTGGATGGACGAAGATTCGAGGGCTTTGCTGAAATCCAGGCTGGGAATTTTGGCTAAAGTTATAGCATTGATTTTCTGGTTGCTACGGGATACGGAGAAGGGATCCATTGGTGGGGTTTTTTTCTCTTCTGAATGCAGTTGTCTAACTTCAGCAAGATCTTGAAAAGTTTGATTCACAGAGTCATCAGGGACTCCTAAATACAGTTCTTCAAGCTCTTTTTTTGCCTTTGCCAGTGTTGACCTGTCTCCCATTTTTCTTTACTGAGTCAAGATGTTAGGATTTGATGCCATTTGTGACA